CTGTCTCAGTCAGCTTGGGGGGAAGGTCCTTGTCATCAGTCTTCCCCCAGGTCTAGAGGTTTCTCAGCACAGGGACCCCACATCCAAAGGACGCACTGTTCTCTTGGCTCTTCTTGGTGGTAGGAGGTCCCTCTCCTCTCCATTCACTTCTATCCTTTATATCTCAAAGCGATTGACTCAAGGTACAACCTAGTCCTGTAGATTGTATCTGCTTCATTAACATCATAGAGGTTAGGATTTACATCAGGTAGGAAAATCACTTCATTTCACAAAATGGTGGACAAGCATACAATACTGGGAATCAAGGCATAGCCAAGTTGACACACAAATTTTTGAGGTATACAATTCAATCCATAACAGTGGCATTGGGGCGGCTGTAGCTCGGAGTGGGCTGGGGGGCAGCGGCAGGTGGCCAGCACCTGAAGTGGGCCCCAGAATATGGAGGGGCAGGGAGCAGGGCATGGGTCTGTATGCTGTGGTCGTGGCCTCAGGGTGGTGGGCACTTGGTGGCAGAACCAGAGACAGTGGAGAGCTCAGGCGGGGTCTCAGCCCCCGTCTGGACAGTGGTCTTGGCTCTCTGGTCACCATCTGCCTCTGTGACCTTGAGTGTTCCCTTACCTGGGCCTCATTTTCCCCAGAGAGCTGGAGGGCATACTGACCCTGCCCTCCATGCCTGGGAGGGCGGGCCAGGGTCTACACATCTTCCCAAACTGGGGGCCCCATCGACCACCGCTCATGCCTCGGCCCCATGAAGCCCCGCGTGACGGTGCAGCCACAGAGAGGCCCATCTCCGCAAAGGCCAGGTTGGGGTCGTCCACCCAACAGCGACATGGGAGCCACGGGGCAGCCTTGGGCGGGCGGCCTGCTCCTCGTCCCCCACCCCCTGCCCCAGCCCGTGTTCACAGGATTCGAGGGCTTCCTTAGGGCCATGGTACAAGACGGGCCCCAGCCGTCCTGAAGGTGACCGCGGCGGCCCGTTCTGGTGGCCGCGAAGGTGGCTGTCAGCAGTGTTTGCTTAGTGTGCCGGGGAAGGTGAATTCGGCCTGGCAGCTGTCGGTGCGATGGATGTGCGGGCGGTGGGGGACCGCGCGGTGGCCGCTGTCAGCTGGCGCCCGCGCCCCGGGCCTGCTGGGGCTCACTTTGCTGTGGAGAAACAGCTCGGTGCCGCCGGGCGCCCTGCCAGCCGCTGCTGCCACCACTGCGGCAAAGTGTTTATCCAGCAGTTTCCCTGAAAACCGAGACTTTTAGAGAATGTTCATGGAGCTTGGGACGAGAGGGCTGCGCAGCGGGTGCCAGGCGGCTGGGACGGGGCGGGCGCGGAGCCGCTGCCTGGCGTGGCCACCGGCCTGCCACAGGACGTGGCTGGACCCCAAGTCTTCGGTGACGCCTTGGGCAGGCTGGCTGCATGTGTTCTTCGGAATCCCCACATCTACCTGGGAGGCTGTCTGGAGGAGGTCCCCTTCCTGGGCTGAGCCGGTGGGAGGTTCCATAGAGGGCCCTGGGAACTGACCCCTGGGCGAGAGGTAGGCATCCGAGCCGCAGCACCTCCGCATAACCCTGCCCATCGGCCATGGCACTGTCCTCGGGCAGCAGGCGGGGGTCCTGCTGGGCCAGACACAGCATGTGTTCACAGAACCCAGGTACACGTGGCCACATGCGTGCTCCTGGTCCCTGCCCAGAGCAGGTGTACCGGGTGGAGGGGTGGGTGCCTGGCTCGGTGGGCCTCTGGCCCAGGGGAGCAGCATCCTGGGCATAGACGCTGGTTGCTCCTTTGCCCCTTGCCAGGGGTATGCCCGAGCTGAGGCCGGCGGGGGCTGCTGGGGCGGGGGCACCCCTGTGTTTGGTGATGGTGACTGTGAAACCCATGGGGATGGTCGCTGCCACCCCGCCCCATTCCCCTTCCCCTGTAGCTGGACTCTACTCCTGCCCTCATACAGTGGGTCGGGGGACTTGAATGGGGTGGGGGCCCAGGATGAGCGCCCAACACCTCAGGGGACACTGAGGATGGGGACGGGAGCCACCAAGGCCGGTTGGGGCCAGGAGTCCCAAGCCTCAGGTTCCAGCCCAGCCCCCGCAGTGCGGTCCAATCCCTCTGGTTCGGGCCGAGTGTGAGGTTTTTGGAGGGCGGGGGGTCAGGGGCCTGGGGCTGGCTGGGGGCCTGCCCCGACCTCCTGTGGCCCAGAAGTGGCAGCTGTGTGTGCCTGGCCTCCAGCTCCTTGGGGCCACCTGTGCCAGGGGTGGAGGCTGGGGGTCACCGTCCTGGTGCCTCAGCCACGGTCCTCCCCCGCGTTGTGCCTCTGGCTCCCAAGCGCCCCGCCCTCGGCTCGCCTGGTGGGGTGCAGCAGAGTGAGTGTGGACCTAGCCTGCCATCTCTTCTGTCCTGGGTCTGCAAGGTCTGGGGCAGTTGGGAGAGGAGACCCTGTCCCTAAGACACCCCCAAACCACCCTGCCCCCAGCTCTGGCTCTAGAGCCTTGCCTGCCCCTGGGGGCTGAGCAAGGCCCCTGGCCCCCTGAGCTTGTGGGGCCACAGCTGATGGGGGTGGGTGCAGAGCATGTGGGGGGGTCAGGGCCTGCCCAGGGTGCTTGTCCCAGCACCCCACCTGGGGGTCACAGGCCCACTTCAGGTGGGGACACTGAGGCCACAGTGGTCTGCTTTCCGGGCTGCGTATGGCGTGCCGGGTGGGGCTGTGTGCTGGGCGCGGGAGGCGGCCCGCCAGGCTCCGTGGGGGCAGCGGCAGTTGGCAAATCAAGATAGATCTCACGGGCGGCGCGGCGGTTCATCGCTCTCGAGCGCAGTTAGCGTCCTGGGGAGCGGCAGCTGGCGGCAGGGGGGGCACTCCATCAGGGCCGACAGCTCCAGACTGGCGCCAGGCGGGTGGGAGTGTGGGGCGCTGGGCGCCAGCGGGTGGGCGCACACCCCCGGGAGCGCTCTGCTCGCTCCCACCCGGAGCCGCGGCTGTGGGGTGGGGGGCATAGGATCCAGTGAGGGGCCCAAGGCAGGAGCCTTGTCTGAAGGTGGGGCCTTACCCACTGGCTGGCCAGAGGGGATCGGAGGATCTGGTAGCACCTGCTGGAGCCACTGCACAGTGAGGTGGGGCCGTACAGCGGTTCTTCTCGATGTTGGCACGGCGTGATTGGTGACAAGTGAGAAGGGAACAGAAGCCCCCTGCAGCCTCGCCCCTCCCCTGTGGGATCGCCCTGGGTTCAGGTCAACGTTGCTGGCGGTGGGCACGTCCTATTTCTGGCCCCAGGTCCCCGACGTCGCCTGGCCCTGCCGTGCACCTGTGGACCTGGTGGGGTCTGGGCCTGGCCAGTGGCCCCTGCCTGGGCTGGGGATAGCACTGAGGGTGTTCTATGCCACCCCCCCGCCCAGGGCCGACCTTCTAGGGCAGGATGGGCTCCCCAAGACAGGGGCGCAAGTGGCTGGAGCCCCATCTCCTGGCACCCCCAGCTTTCCTGGGTCCTGTGGAGCAAGGCCTGTGGGGCCGCGCCCAGAGGTGCTCAGATGGAGATCTGGGCAGTGGGGACTGTGGGGGATGGAAGTCCCCAGGCCAAGAGGTTTTAGTCATTCGTTGGGCTCAGTGGTGGGCTTCCCGCCTGTATCATCAGACCCCTGCCCCCTTGTCCCAGCCCCCAGGGTTGGTGAGGTGGCGGAGCTGTGAGGAGGAGGGCTCAGGCCTATCCCACTCCCAGCCCAGGTGGGGTGTGGCTGCAGAGGCCCTGAGAATGGAGAGGGGTGGGGAGAATGGAGGGGGCCAAGGGAGAGGGGTAGGGGCTGCCGTCCTGGCCCACGTGGCCCCTTGTTTTGGGGGAGCAGGTTGCGGGGATGCCTTCCCCTAGAGCCAGGGCTCCCTAGGAAGTGATCGGCCAGGCTGGGACGCCGTGAACGCGGCGTGCTCTAAGCCAGTGCAGGGCTCCTGCCACCCCCCGCCCCACCCTGCCCCGTCCTGTGACTTCTCTCTGCATTAGGGAGGGCTGGGGGGTGGGCTCACCAAGCAGCCTGAGTGGGCAGCCAGGGCTGCTGCCGCCCGCCCCCACTTCCCTGCCCCCAGCGGGTCCTCTGATGAAGCTGTCTCCTAATTAGAAGTTCCTGTTGTTCAAACTCCTTGCTCTGCAAAACGTAAATGGAACGTTTTTTTTCTGGGTGTCAGTATGAAAAATGACAGTTGCTGGAATATCACAGAGGACATCTGCTCCGATCCTTGAGTGCGAACGCCTGTTTACGGCTGATGTTGCAGAACTTCGGGGAGAACTTTCCTTAGTACCTGGGTAGCCCTGGGCGGGATGCTCCGTGGCCCCCAGGCGGGCCCTAGTGGCTGACTGCCCTCGGTGCTCCTGGGCATCTGGCTGGGTCCCTGTCCCCCTGGGGTCTGGCTTCTCAGCAGGGCTCAGGGACTCTGGTCAGCAGGTGCTGCCACCTGGGGAGGGGCTGCCGCTCTGAGCACCCAGCATGGTCACGCTGAGAACGTGTCCTGTGTACACCAGGTGAGCCCCAGGTCTCACTCCAGTGTGGTACGGACCTGCTCACCCCTCTTCGTCCCAGCCAGGGATCGGCTGTGGGGGTTGTAGGAGCGCTCTCGGCGCCCCCAGGGCTGGGTGGTGGCCAGCCTGTGCTGAGCTGCTGGCAGTGCTGCTGGGGACCGGCCACCCAGTGCTGCTCCTCCAGGAAGGCCTCCAGATTGGCCCAGTTCCTCCCTCCCACCTCCCCCAGTCTGTGCCCTTCCCATGGGGACCTTGGGGGTTCTGCAGGTCACCTGTGCCCAGGTGCCTGCCTGGCCCTTTCAGACATGGGGATGGGGAGGGCTCATTAGCAGAGGCGGGTGATGCTCACTGTCCTGCTGGCCCCATGCGGTCTCTTGCCGGCCCAGCCCTGCCACCTGCTGGGGTCGTACTTGGGTGTCGGGGAGCATCTGCCCACTGCCTGAGGCTGTGAGGACTCAGACAGGAGTCCGCAGGAGATAGCTCCGCTGGCCCCAGCCCTCACCTGCCATGTCCCACAGGTGAGTACATCAAGACCTGGCGGCCACGCTACTTCCTCCTCAAGAATGACGGCACCTTCATCGGCTACAAGGAGCGTCCACAGGACGTGGACCAGCGCGAGTCTCCCCTCAACAACTTCTCTGTGGCACGTGAGTGGCCCTCGGCACCCTGGGCTGGGACCGGGTAGGGGGCCTGGGGGGGGGCTGGGGGGGGCAGGGCGGCTGGGTTCTGCACACCAGCCAGTGCCCGTGCTGAGGCCCAAAGCCTCCATGTCCGGGCAGGCAGTGGCCGTCCAGGCTGCTCTGCCGTGGGCGGGTCTCCACGCCAGGCCCCAACCGCTGCCCTGGTACCCTCTCCTGGGCGCTGACAGGAGACTGGGGTTCTGGCCAGTGGTGGCGGAGCCTGACACGGGAGCTGATGGGCTGATCAGGGGCTCTTCCTCGAGGGGTGCAGATGGAGCTGGCAGCAGCCCCTCATTGGGAACCCCCCAGGGGGAGCAGGCGAGAAAGAGGGCGTGCAGGCGGGAGGGGATACCGCCCTTAGAAGGAACCTTGGGGCCTCCCTCATAGCCCATCAGAGGCCACCCAGAGCTGCTGGTGGACCCTCTGCTTCCTCCAGGCTGGGGTAGGGCAGGAGTGTGGTCCCTCAGGATGATGAGCCCGTTTTGTACCTGGGAGAGGTGGTGTATGTCATTCTGCCCTCAAGGCCGGGAGGTGGGGGAGCGGGCTTGGTGACGTGGCCTGGTGCAGGGGCAGCCTCCCCATCCCCAGTCCCCGACACCATTGCCTGGTGACAGGCTCGGGGACATGGGCTTCCTGGGCTGAGCACGAAGGTGGAACCAAGTAGCCATTAGAGGTGTTTTGACTGAGACCCCCCCTAACCTGGACAGCTTGGGTGGGGCTTGTTGACAGGCACCCCTCTGCCCATCCCACTGCCAACTGGGGTGTAAGCGCTATGCCCCCTGTGGGGAGGTCCCGCCCTCCAGCTAGCTCTGCCTTTGCTGCTGCTGCTGCCCCGCAGCCTGGGGGCCTGGGTCCTCCAGTCCCTCCCTTGCAGGCACCCCGGCTCTGGCCTCAGGCTAGGGTCTCAGGAGGAGGCTTAGCAGATGGCTGGACCCCAGCTAGGGGAAGGACTTCCAGCCACAGTGCCTGTAGGGGAGTTCTGGCACCTTCAGTCAGAAACACCTTGTGTGTCTCCCCCTTGCCCGCCCAGTGAGCCCGGCCCTGTTTTGGGGGTTTGCTGGCAGGAGGCCTGGGGTTGGACTCTCAGAGCGGGAGCAGAGTGGGTACAAGTGGCTGGGTGAGGCCCAGTGGAGGGGCTTTTCCAGGGGTGGGAAGCTGCCAGAGAGCAGGGCCCCTGGGGATGAATTCCTGGGGTGGGGGAGGGGGGAGCTAGGCACTGTGGACATCTCAGTCATGGGCCTTGGGTGGCCTTGTCCGAGCATGTAGATGGTGGGTCTTGTGTGGGAACCTCAGAGGATGAGCCTGCTGGGACTCCCCCAGTATTGACATAGGCCCCTCAGTGCCGGCCTGGAGCCCCTTCCTGGCCTCTGAGCCCTGGCAGAGGCTGGCTGGCCCCTTGGTGTTGCCAGGGCCGTACACTGGAATGCGGGACAGTCCTTGAGCCAGCCAGTACCCCGCCTCTCCCCCAGACCCCCACTGCCACACACACTCCACTCGGCCCCTCCCATGGTCCCTGCTGCAAGTGTGTGTCCCCACATCTGTGTGCACCCAGTCCCTGGCTGGCACCACCCCAGCAGCCTCCTGGGGGAGGGTCACCATGTTCTCAAGCCTCTGGCCAGGTCAGGAAGCTTCTGCAGGGCCCATCCCCACTGCCCTTCACCCAGGATTGCCATGTACCCAAGAGGGACAGTGGTGCCCAGCCCCCGAGGGGCCATGCAGCTTGGGAAGAAAGGCTGGCGTGAACCGCTGCCCTGGAACCCCCATCAGCCCCTCCCTGGGATTCTGTGCGCCCACCTCTGGCCTCTGACATGGTGGGAGTTAGCTCAGAGAGCATGCAGGCCGGGAAGGGACATGGACGTGGGGTTGACCCAGACCAACCCCAGACACGCCCGTGGGGCCTCGTGGCTTCAGAGTAGTGTCTGAACTGGAACGGGGGTCCAGGCCCCATTTTACAAAGAGGGAAACCGAGGCTGTGAGAGGGGATGGGATGGGGCTTCCCAGGATGGGTTGGGTGGAGCCCAGGAGGCGATGTCCCGTGTGGCAAGGGCAGCCTCGGGGAGGGGGCAGGTGGGTAGTCTTGTGGCGCAGTGTGGGGACAGGTACTCAGCTGTGTGACTCCCCCCGCCCAGAATGCCAGCTGATGAAGACGGAGCGGCCCAGGCCCAACACCTTCATCATCCGCTGCCTGCAGTGGACCACGGTCATTGAGCGCACCTTCCACGTGGAGACGCCTGAGGAGCGGTAGGGGCGCCACGGGGGCCAGCTGTGAGGAGGTTAGGCTGTGAGGAGGGGAGGCTTTGAAAAAGAGGGAAAGGCTGTGAGGCGGGGGAGACAGAGGAGGGGAGACTGAAGAGGGAGAGGCTGTGAGGAGGAGGGAGAATCTGTGAGGAGGAGGGAGAATCTGAGGAGGAGGGAGAATCTGTGAGGAGAAGGGGAAGGCTGTGAGGAGGTGGGGGAGGCTGTGAGGAGGAAGACGAGGCTGTGAGGAGGTGGGGGAGGCTGTGAGGAGGAAGAGGAGGCTGTGAGGAGGTGGGGGAGGCTGTGAGGAGGA